TATTTATAGGACAACAGTACTCCATTGTTTAATGCTGTCGAATGTTGTAGTATTGAAGCTGTTGATATTCTATTAACTAATGGAGCTAGAACTGATGTTGTGGATAAAGTAAGATTGCTACATTGTATGTATTATGCACTACATACATGTATACATGCATAGATGTATGTATACATGTACTGTAAATGTTCAAATAAAAGCCCAGGGGAAAAGTGACATTCTAACCCACAACCTTGGGATCAGAGGTTAACAAATTAGGCCATTTGGAACATTCTAAGTTGGAAGCTCTACATGTATACTTGGAAGATATTACATGTAGTAATAAGCATATATTTACATTAAATTTTGTTGAATGTACGTACTTGTTACTGATACCGTATAGTGGGAAATTTTGGAGGGGATTGAATTTGGTGTTTTGATAGCCATTTGCTAAAATAAAAGTCCACCATTTTTAGCCATTATACTCATGCTTAATGGCACGTGGCCACAAATTTTCCAAATTAAAATCCGCCAATCACCAAAAATTAGCAATTTGCCAAAATTTAGCCCCTCCAAATTTACCCGCTATACAGTATTGTACAATGCATACTGTTCATAAGGTGATCAGGTTTTTTGTTAAGTAATTACATGTGTATGTAGATGCTATATGAGATGTGATCATTATATGCTTCTAAAAGGTATTTTCTGTATGATACACAAATTGTTATTCTATGCTTAAATCTAAGATATAAAAAATATTTCAATTTGATTATTTTTTTTCTGAGCAGTGGGCACAGCATGGTTATTGACTTTATGTACACGATTGGTATTTGATGCTTTTGTTATTATTTATTTATCTAGTATGGTGACACTCCTCTGTTATCAGCTGTTGAAAGTGGCAGAGGTAGATCAACTGAAATTATCAATTTATTGATTAATAAAGGTGAAGCTGATGTTACTGCTGCTTGTCAAAAAGTAAGTAAAAATTTAAGCTGTTTTGCAATTAACCTTTTGACAATACCAATACACAGCATTAATTTATTATGTTTTGATTATGTAATGCAATGCTCATTTTATGTAGTATCATATCAATCCTGAGGTATCCAGATTGGAAATTGCTAAGCTATTTGTCACTGAGATCCCAAGAGTAAGAAAAACTTTAAATGACATTGTAATTTGCCAAAATGTGTGATTTAAAATGAAGTATTTTGTATAGTCTATTTGGAAAATATTTCTAGTTAGAAAAAATTTTAGTTTTTAAAATTTGATGTCATTTTTATACCAGTATAGCCTATTGTGACCATGATCAAATCAAAATCGAGAGGTCAATTGCCTATAGTTAAGTTGAAATCAACACATAAGACTTACTGTAGTACACATCATACAGCATCAAGAACTAAATCTTTTTGATTAAAATCAAACCATCAAGGGTTCAAATTTTGTACATCAAGGCATCATGATCTAAATAACCAAGATCAAAATCAGTCACAAATAAAACAACAGGCTATACAAGTGACATCTATAGTCACCCAATTGTTCATGATACCTACATGTACACGTACGTTGTATAGCATGGTTTTTATTATAGCAGTGCGAACCATAATACATGTATACTGTGTCGTATGAAATGTATTCAAAAAAGTTCAGCAATAATGTTTTCTAGGCGTTAAGTCTATTTTCAATGAATATAATTACAATAATGATATTCATTTATAATAAATAATTTATTCATATACGATACCCACCTACGATGTAAATTACTGACGGCAAGAATGCCTCAAGATCAAAGGAAATCAAAGGCGGTAACACTGTCTGGCCATTTTATTGAGCTACAGGCTCACAAGCAGAATTTATGGAAAGTATGGAGGCCAGACTACATCATATAGACCAGGTATAACTCTTGCTGCAGC